CGGAGAACTCAGACATCTGCCTGACAGCCAAATCCTCGAGCGGCATGAGCAGCTGTATTAAAAGGACGCAAGCCAGGACACACCTAGAAGCTGAGCCGAAAAGTGATGAATCTGAATACACACTCGCATCACCACAAGGTGAGACCTGAGCAATGAAAGCCTGAAGAAAAGAGCATAGGCAAGCTCATCAAACTGACCGAACTCACACATCTGCCTGTCAGCCGAATCCTCAAGCAGCATGACCAGATGTATTGAAAAGACGCAAGCCAGGACACACCTGGAAGCTGCACCGAAAAGTGGTGACTCTGAATAAACTGCCATCACCACAAGGTAAGAAGTGAGCAATGACAGCCCGAAGAAAGAGCATAGGCAAGCACATCATCCTGTCCCGTGCAGCCAATCATCCGTGCACAAATGGACACACCCCGTCTTCTTGTATCTTATGAGAGCGAGGACGGTATACACAGAGGTAGCGCAAGACCACCATCTTGCTCCGCCACTCGCCATTTGCCAAGCTTACAAGATGGCCTCTGTCACACCCTAAACCCTAAACTCTCACGCCGGGTTAGGGTTTAGGGTTTAGCACGTCTTACAGGGCACTGCTCGTACAAACGACGCCACAGACAAGTGACCGTTGACTCCTGGGCACAGGAAGAAAAGAGACTGAAGTTTTCCGCTAGTCCCCAAAAAGTGTATGCAGTCACAGATTCTGACATCTGCGTATTGGGGCCTGCAAGCTACATGCAGCCCACATCCGCTTCGCATCGGCATCCAGTATTTACCGCAACAATAAAAAACTGAGGGATCTAGCAGAGGAGATCAGCATCATCATCATCATCACCATCATGAAAAGTTTCTCTTGCCAGGAGAAAACAAACGCCGTATCCGTGAGTGAACCCAGGAATTCCGACGACTCAGGGAATTCCCAGGCATGGCCAGGGAAAAGAGGATTCCCTCCACGACTCAGGGAATTCCCAGACATGGCCACGGAAGGCGATTGAGACATATGCCAAAAGAGTATTCCCTGCACGACTCAGGGAATTCCCAGACATGGCCACGGAAGGCGATTGAGACATATGCCACAACAAGGGAACACAGAGGACTCCCTTCAACTAAGAGAATTCTCAGGCATCCCCCCAGGAAGAGGACAGAAACCTCACTCCACGTCGTCCATTTACAACACCACAAGGAGGGCATACAGGGACTTCAAAATTTTCTTCAAATTTGGCACCCCGGACATCACTACACCATTTGTTCTTGTTTGGCACCGGACATCACAACGGGCGAGTGCAGGCCCGAAGAGACATTCGGCATGGTGAAACTGCTCCAAGTGATGTCAGAAGCCAGATGACAACGTCGTTACATCTGTAGTGGAAACCTGCAGGACTGCAGCAGAACACGGTGTGGATTCCATAGACAAGCTGCTGCATGCATATCGCCTTTGGTACACACACACACACACACACACACACACACATACATACAAAACACTAACTCTGGGCGATATGGTGAGTGCTTATCCATCAGTCAAATGCATCCTGGGAAGACTATCGGGGTTCGACCTCCTGATGAGTTGCCGAAAGTCAGAGAAAACAGACGGTCATGCTTTTATTGTGGAGTTGTGCATAGCGAAGATGACAACACACACACACACACACACGCCCGAACACAGAGCAGACAAACGCCTTTCACTGTTCTGAGAAAGAAGAACTTTGGCGGCGTGGGAGGCGAGTAACACAGACTGGTCACAGGCAGAGACCAGTTGCAGAGCCCAGTCCCAAAACCGGTCACAGAGACCGGTCACAGAGTCCAGTCCCAGAGACCAGTCACAGAGTCCAGTCAGAATCTTGGCTGCATGGGAGATCTTCCACGGATCCCAGTCGCAGTGACCGATCCCACAGACACACCAGAGACCCCACTCACAGAACCCGGTGGTACGTGCCGCAGCCTCAGTGACTGTCAGGGAATCCTCTCTCTCTCTCTCTCTCTCTCTCTCTCTCTCTCTCTCTCTCTCTCTCTCTCTCTCTCTCTCATTCTCTCACTGGATCCTCCATCTTCGTTTGCCCACAAATAATCAATACATAAAATCAACTGCAAGAATACCAGGCTTTAATTAGGCAAATACACTTGCGCGGTAGCAGGCCCGATCACATAAAGCAATCCACCACCCTTCTGCCAATCATCATTATCCCTGCACACGTTCTTCATAACGGGCCACGTCTGTTTTTGCCTGTAGCCGACAGAAGTCGAACGGACAACACAACGATGCATGTCGCACCAGCCCTTCAACAAAGAGAAAGTCATGAATTTACCCCAAGTAGTGGTCTGTACTGATTGGCAAATTCTCCTTATCCTACCAACGTCCACCCATGCTGGAGTTACTTCACGGCTCTTGCAATCGAGAGAGGCCAAAACCGGGCAAAAAAGCGTGGTCAAAACGGGGAAAAACGTGGCCGAAGCAGGATGAAGTGTGGGCCGAAACGGAGCAAATTGTGGTGGAGAGCCAAGCCTGTCCAAAATGCACAAGCACCGACGACACCCGGCCAGCATAGTCAAACGCAAGATGCACGCAGAAATACATGCATCACCTTTTTTTCTCCAGCCAAGCCTGTCCAACCTCGGTCACAAGCTGGTCAAAACAGGGCTAAGCATATCCAAAATGGGCCGAAATCCTAATCGGGTTAAATCGGGGGTAAAAACGTGTCCCGGCGACTGCGGAGGATCCTGTTGTTTCCCCACCCAAGCCTGCCCACCCTGGGTCAAAAGCTGCCCTTCAACCACCACCACCAGTACACCCGGGCCCGGAGGAGCCTTACTACGCACCAAGCTGTTCCAAACCGCCAGCGAGCGGTGCACTTTCCGTCTTTTTTGGCTGGCACCGCCAGCCATCGTGCTCCTGTGGTTCGAGTCGAGCCTCTGAATTTTCCGTAGGCTACGAGTTGCGTTGCATTTTCAGCAAGCCTGGGGCCACGTACTGGCGGTTTAATTCTCTCTCTCGAGAGTATGCGACGGGCTTGGCTATATGAAAGGGCTGAAATCCCTTTTTAACGGTATCCTCTTGTTTTCCACCCAAGTCTGCCCAGCCTGGGTCAAAAAGCTGGCCTTTTGCAAGGAGCTTGGCTTCGAACGGGCTGAAATCCTTTATCTGAAAAAACACAACTCTCCCCGTGACGGCAGCAAAACGTGTCATGGTGACTGACACCAGCACCAGCACCAACACCAACACCCTGGTAGCAAAGGCAAATGCAAGACCTGCCTAACCTGGGTCAAAAACTGGCCTTATGCAAGGAGCTTGGCTTCGAACGGGCTGAAAATCCTTCATCGGTGAAAACACACCTCTCCCCGTGACGGCAGCAAAACGTGTCACAGTGACTTCACCAGCACCAACACCCTGGTAGCAAAGGCAAATGCAAGATGCACGCCGGAATCCATCGATCGTCTATTTTCGCGGCAAATTCCATCCATCTGACAGCTGACAGCTCTTCAGACTCGCTCAACTAAACGGTTGTTCAGAGTTGCCATTCAAGTGGAAAAGACCGGGCACAAGCCAAGTATATGACCACCACACCCTCACCCACCTGTACCTTGAGATCCGTACAATTTTTAAGGATATTTATACATGTGTTTGTGTATATATTGTCACTATGTGAATCAGAGCGAGAAGGAGAAAAGAAGCAACACAAGGAAAGGAAAAGAAGGGGCTGTGATATACACATTCCACCGGGCATCACGCCCACTACAGTCGCACCCAACCAACCAACCACCTGTACCTTTGCATCTCCATCATCTCCCATTCTTTAAGGATGCACGCCTTCTACTGATGGTGAGGAATGATCCTTTGCCTTCTTTTTTTCCCTTCCCTTTTCCCGTTTTCCACTGCAAACTTCAGCACGTGTAGTTCACCTTCTTCCAAGTCGTTCAACGCTGCAGCACGTGTGATCAACACCCGGCACAGCACAGCACGTCCATCTCATCTCTCCAGTCAAGTCTGCACCTTTGACTCTTCCCCCAGTTTCGCTATTAAATAGACTTGGAATTTCAATTCGACGCAAAAGAAAAGAGTTACTCTGGTCTCTGTTCGCCCACCATCTGCCTCCCCCTCAGCACGTCCATCTCATCTTTCCCATCAAGTCTGCACCTTTGACACTTCCCCCAGTTTCGCTGTTAAATAATAGACTTGGAATTTGAATTCGATGCAGAAGAAAACGTTACTTGGGSGGGGGGGGGGGGGGTCTCTGCTCMCCCACCATCTCCCTCCCCCGTCTGAAAATTCCATTCAGCGGAGGCGGAGGCAGTTCTATAGATGCCCCATGTCCCATTCCATTTTCCCAGAAACTCCATGCAGACCTGGCCCTCGTGGCTGAGTGGTACAACCGTATGATTGCTGATAAGCAGATCCAGGGCTCGAACGTTGACGGAGGAAAAAAAACAACAACAATACTCTCAATGCAGCAGAGGCAGTAGTTCGTTGGATGTTCCCTCATGCATGCCCCGTTTTCCCAGAAACTCCCTCCAGTCGAGGAAAGCCGGGGGGGGGGGAGGGGGAGAGGAAGGGGAAGGGGAAGGGGAAGGGGAAGGGGAAGTTGAGGGTTTCTGGAACTCTAATTTTGTCGTTTCCAAACCCCTCCCAGCAATGTAGAGGCAGAGGTTGCACGACGCACCTTCCATTCTTCTCCCCCCCCCCCCCCCCCCTTTTTTCGCCTTGTCATACGTCGTCAATACGTCAACCAAGTGGACGTTGTGCACAATGTTCAAGCTTTTGCCTCCTAGGTACAAAAATTTCATAAGCACAGAAAGAAAAAAAACTCCAGTGTAGTCCATCTCATGTACAGAGGCTGACTGGCTGGCTGGATCTGAAACGTGTTATGGATCTTCCATTTTCCCGATGAACTCCATGTAGAGGTTCTTGACAGCGGCGGCAAGTGTGACGAGTACCGGGCCCATAATGGCCCCCTGAACGGGGGACTTGAAGACGGACATCCCGCCAAAAATACTCAGACCGGTGAGGTAGGCATGGGAGCCGGGAATCTCGCTGTAGATGGCCTCCATAGCACACTGCATCACCCAGATGTGCACGAAGAGAAAGAGGAGAGAGAGTACCAACCCTCTCTCCCAAAGCAGATGCAGAAACCCCGGAATCGAGGCCAACCAAACGGGGACAAACGGAAGAACGGTGGTCACTCCGGCTACCAACGTGGACGTGTAGACGAATCTGACCCCCGCTGTGCGATACAAGAGCCAAGTGAATAGAGACTGAAAGGAGACCAGTTTCAGAGACGAGATGAGCACCCCTCTGACTGCGGAACCCAGGGCTTCGGTCACCCTGTCCCTGGTGCTCCCTGCCGGGAACACATTCAGCAGGCTGCCCCAGGGGTCCGACTCCGACGAGAGAAGATAGAACAAAATCATCAAGAAGAGAAACAACTGCACCAGAACGCCAACTGCCCCCACGGCTCCAAGCAGCACCATCTTGCCCAAAACCCCCATAGCCGAAGCTCCGCCGAGCAGGAGACTCGAACTTTGCGCGAAGACCGCCTTGAGAGCCGTCATGGCGGTGGTCCCCACCACTCTCGCGTGCTCCATGAACTGATCCGTCGAGATGTGCAGGCCGTGTAAGAGGACAGTGCCCATGTCTTGCATCTCTGCCAAGGCGTCCTGTACCTCAAGGTCGACAAGCTTCTGCTTCACCGTCTCCGCCTTCAGTCGGAGAGGCGACCCCCTCTTCGTCTTCGAGATAATGCCCCCCGTGACGGAGCTGTTCATGTCGATTACCCCGTGATGATTGCTGACGATGTACCCGCCAAATTCGTGCCAGAACACATCCACAAGCTCGGTTAAATTGTACTTTTCCAGGGCATCTCGAAAGTGATCCTTGGCCCACGCCGCCGCCTTCTCCATGGACACGTCCACGTATTCCAACACGTGGCTCTCTGCCAGCCATTGATGAACCGCCGTCGTGTTAGCGATCGCCCCATCCCTAATCTGTTGATTGACCGAGAGCACCGCCGCCTTCCCCTCCTGGCCCATCTGATAGGAGAAGAACATCACAAGCGCTATGGCGCCAACAACCATGCCCAGAATCAAGCAGACAGCGACGAGGGAGTGCAAGGAGGAGAGCAGCATTCGGCAGACCCACCTGTCCAGCCCATGGTATGCGCACCGCGCCGCCTCCCTCACAATCCCCGTCGCGTCCCACAGTCGGGATACCAACATGATCCCCCTCCTCCTCCTCCTCTTCTCCTCCCCCTCGCCGTCCGAGTTGTCATCCTCAGGAAGCCCCGACGGCTGCTGCGCCTGCTCCTCGACTGCTTGATGACAGCCGCCGCCGCCGCGGAGGGGGGAAGAGGAGGGGCGGTAGCCACCGCCCTTCCCGCCGGGCCCCCCACTCCCTGAGGAGGAGGGCGACGGGTTGGTCGAAGACCCCCCCCCGCCGCTGGGGGAAGGAGAAGGCTCCACGTAATTGGAGGAGGCAATCCAGAGGCTGACATAGAGAGCTCCGAGTATGGCGGAGGTCTGTAGCACTTCCAGGGTAACGACCTCATAGCCCAGACAGGTCAGCGCAAAGACAAATAACCATTCAAATAGCCGAGTGGACCCCGCCGCCGCCTTCTTGATTGACGCCCGCCGTCGCAAGGAGACGGATCTCCCCGATCCCAACCGCGGACCAGATGGCCAAAGGTACCCCAAAACCCCGTTGATTAGATTGCTGACCTTCAATTTGCCCTCCGCACAGCGATCGGCAACCACTCGATGGGCAAGGATAGCTGGCGCCGCCGCCGCCGTTAACAAGCCCCTCTCCAAGTGCGGCCTCCAGAACCCGATGATAGCATCCTTGGCTTCGCGCAGGACGACCGAGCAGAGGATGGCCCACAAGATGGGGCTAGAGAACTCCTTGAGCACGAAGAAGACCAGATATATGGCGGCCACCGCCAGCGCGACGAGAAGATTGGCAAGGGCATTGTACAGAGCCATGCGCGCATAAGATTTGCGAAGCTGCATGTCACCTCCTCCTCCACGACCAAAACCCAACACCCCCCCGCCCCTTCTCCCATCCATCCCTTCCATCTCCTCGTCCTCCTCCCCTTCCCCCTCCCCCTCCTCCTCCCCCTCCCCACCCCCTCCCTCGTCCGTATTCATTAACTCGAAAGCTGCCGCAGCTCCGTGATAAATATCGCTCGCCGCACTCTCCACCTCCTTGCTCGGCGAGGACGTCGACGATCGGGATACCATTCCTGAATATCCTGATTCTCGTCTTGAGGTGTGAAATGACCAACCGGTTTTCCAGAAGGAAGACGGCACTTTGCTCCTTCTACCTCCCGCCGCCGCCCACCAAGGTCTCCACGACCTCCGTCTCTCTCTAGACGGAGAACGGAGCGTTTGAGAGGAGAGCGGGAATGAGCGCGCTGTGTCTGTGTCTGTCTGCTCTTGTTCATACGTCTCCCGTGCAGTAGAGATAGCAAGTAACGAGTACGTTCTGTCCAACTCGTTGCTAGACATTCGCTGATGCCAAATACACTGGAAAGTTAAAACCGGACCGTAGGAGAGAAGATAGGAATTGCACTGACTACTGACTAGATCTCCATAGCTACAACAACGGCGCGTGTTCACCCCTTTAGACACCGCCTACTCCTCCTCTTTAATATCTCAGAGCACCTCCAAAAAGGTTAAGAAAGCAAAACAAAAAACAAACACAAAACAATCCTGTCCTCCACCAGGCTTCGTTCCTACCACCCTCCTCTTCTAGTTCAATCACTCGACAAGGCCAGCTGCCGCAGCGGCAAGACCTGGGATTCCTCTCTCTCTCTCTCTCTCTCTCTCTCTCTCTCTCTCTCTCTCTCTCTCTCTCTCTTGTGACTTATCTATGGATCTCAACAACTGACCTGTTTACTACCTGTACACAGATCTTTCTGTTTGTCTGACTCTATCTCCCGCGCGCGCGCCTCTCTATCCCACTATGTCCCGCTATCTACTGCTATCTGCCTGCCGCTTCCCTCCGACTAGAACATTACTACATGTAATTGGGTAAACAAGAGGGAAGGGGACATTCCCTCAAAGCATTACAATAAATCGGGAAGGGGAGGAGCCAGGGGGAAAAGAGGGGGGCGGGCGAGTACGCGGGGAGGGGGGCGGAACCGGGGAAACGAAGTAGGCAAAGGCGGAAAAACGAGAAAAGAAAGGCGGAAGACGGGAGCGGGGAGAAAAGGGGGGCCGGGGGCGGTGGCGGAAGGGGGCGGAAGGGGGCGGGGCGTAAAATTTGGAGAAATAAAATGGAGTTGTTAGCAATGGAGAATCTGATGGGGATTCTCTTTTGGAATTGGAATTGGAATTGGAATTGGAATTGGAATTGGAATTGGAAGAACTTCAAATCAAATTTCTCAAGCTGAAAATGTCAAAAAAAAATACTCTGTGATTTCTCAACCGGGGTTCGAACGCTAGTAGGTCTGGTGTGAAGTAGGGAACGGAAGTTTTCTGATGAAAGGGGGAGAAGCAGGAAGTGTGGTGGTGTCATTTGGAGATTGAATGTTGCCTCCTCTACGCACCCTTTCGCGTTCTCAAAGGTTTTCCATGTCGATTAGCAGCCTCTTCCTTGCCCTTGCCCGGTTTCTTCTTACCCTTGAAAAGATTCTTCTGCGTCATCCTGGGGACCATAAAAGAACAGTCGAAGAAAACAAAGGGAAAAGAAGTCAAAAACAAAATGATCAAATATACTAATAATACAGTATGTCCATAAAACCTACGCAAAATAAGTTTACACACAGGACTCGCTAAGCCTCAAAGTCGCACCGTCTTCTTTTCATGACAAGCAGGAGAGGAGAGGTGAGGAGAGGAGAGGAGAGGAGAGGAGAGGGAAGAGGGGAGGAGAGAGTACGACAAGAATGAAAATTGAACACGGCTGAAGTTCATTACATTACGATTATCAATCATCATCATGTTTGTTAATCCAAAGCTTACTCCGGAGCGTCCTCGGTTCGCCCCAAGATTCCAGAGAAGATCAGATTTGCCGCGAACTGAGAACTACATTTGGCGCGAACTGAGAGCTACATTTGGCGCGAACTGAAAGCTAGATTTGGCGCGAAAGGACACCTCTATGGGAGTACACGCTTTCGATTCACTTGATACTAGACATAGCGGATTTCCCTCGCCTGAAGTGATGAACGCTAGCCCCTCTCTCTCTCTCTCTCTCTCTCTCTCTCTCTCTCTCTCTCTCTCTCTCTCTCTCTCTCTCTCNTCTCTCTCTCTCTCTCTCTCTCTCTCTCTCTCTCTCTCTCTCTCTCTCTCTCTCTCTCGCTCGCTCGCTCTGTGTGTGTGTGTGTGTGTGTGTGTTTGTGTGTGTGTGTGTGTGGAGCTGTCGATCTATCGATCGATCCATTGAACTCCCTCCTCCTACCAACTAGTACCCATCACCTAGCTGCCCAATTGCCCACCTACGTATCTATCAAAAACCACGATTCAGTGGGCCTCGCTCCACTACTCTCGACATGCACAAAAGACAAAAATCATCGCGGTGTATACTTGCATATTCTAGCGAAAGATTTACTCCCGTTTTGCACATTTCGAGAGAAGTGGAGTGAGGACCATTAGGTGTGTGTTCGAGGGTATTCCTGGGTGGGGGCTCGAGCGCGAGCGCGAGCGCGTGCGCGTGCGCGCGCGCGTGTTTGCTTTCTGCTTCGGACCTATGTGAGGAAGGATGGATTGCTCACTGATCGGCAGTACCGCTGGGAAAAGCGAATGATAATGGGCCTGAAGCTGTCTCTTATACACATCTAGATGTGTATAAGAGACAGGAAGTGGAGTGAGGACCATTAGGTGTGTGTTCGAGGGTATTCCTGGGTGGGGGCTCGAGCGCGAGCGCGAGCGCGTGCGCGTGCGCGCGCGCGTGTTTGCTTTCTGCTTCGGACCTATGTGAGGAAGGATGGATTGCTCACTGATCGGCAGTACCGCTGGGAAAAGCGAATGATAATGGGCCTGAAGACGCCGCCTCCACGAGGAACTGTCCAATCGCCTGAGGACACGGGATCGCGGAACCCCCTCCCGTTGCGGGTCGAGGAGATCACCAATGGATGTGAGAGTCAGGGAATATCGACGTGTCACACGATATCAAACCACTCCACAGAGAGATGAGGAGGGGATGGACGGAGTAGAAATTAGGAGGCGGCGGCGGGGGAGGGGGAGGGAGGGGGAAGCGGCGATGCCGCAGGAGCGATCGAGCTGATCGAGCAATCACGAGCGCGCGCGAATAGATCGAAAATTTCCCGCCACGGATTACGACGGACTAGAAGTCCCAAAGGAGAGAGTGAGTACCAAGGGAGGTTAAAGCAGTGGGGGGTTCATAAGACGAGAGCCAAGCGCGACAGGGGGAGAAAGGGAGAAGGGGAGAAGAGGAGAAAGGGGGGGAAAGTGGATAAGGGGAGAAGGGGAGAAGGGGGGAGAAGGGAGAAGGGGAGGAGGGAAGGAGGGGAGGAGAGGAGAGGAGAGGAGAAAAGAGCCCAGCCCGTGTGGTTGACTGATACATACACATATTTGTTGATGGATAGAGGACGAGTTCGAATCCCGGTGAAATCAGCTGGATAGAAAAGGATCAATAATCTAGGGGCTGGCACGCTTATTGTTTAGAAAAGAAACAAAGGAGGGAGAATGGGAGGAGCGGAGGAGCGGAGGAGGGGGGAGAGAGACTCGTACCTGAGAGGTGGCGGCGATTGATTTCAAAAAAACTTGGCGTGGTGATCGCTAACACTTGGCGGCTAACCGTTTGCCAGGCGGCAACTCAATTCCTATCAACTCCTACCAATCCTAACTCTCCCGCCCACGATTCCCTCGCGCGAGCAGTCGTTGCCGCTATCTTCCGCAATCACGCGCGCGCTGCGCGCTGCGCGCCACGCGAGAGTGACGATCGAAATCGTCTGCACTCCTATTGCTACAGCAATTCCTACTCGTTCTCTACGTTGGCAATTGCTACAGGGTTCCTGCTGGCTGAGCAGCGAAGTTTTTTTCTGGCGCCAGACGCACACGGCGGGGGGCCCGACCCGCTAATCCTTTGAGAGAAAACGTTTCAGGCCACATACCCGGCCATATTCGCGCTGTGTATATGGCCGCAAACGTGGAGCCAGCCCGGGGGCCCAAATCTGCTGGATCTGCTGGGCACGACCGCGCTTCTGCAAGGCGCTACCTCGTTACAAGTACAATGCATACGGCGCTGCACTAGTCTCCACTCTCCGATTTCGGAGAGGTTTTCATGGCTGCACTAACTACGCGATTCCACCACCCAAAAACCCTCGGATACCTGTAAGAAACCACCATAGAAAAGCACTCTCCGCGGGGTGGAAAGTGCCCAGCCTATTCTCTACCGCGTGGCACGGGGAACGCAGCCCTAAGGTAGCCAAAGCAACTGGACTAAGAGTGCGCACGAGAGACAGCGGGAGAGAGAGAGGGGGGGAGGGGGGGGCTACCAGAGAGAGAGAGACAGAGAGAGAGACAGACAGACAGACAGAGACAGACAGAGACACAGAGAGAGAGAGGGAGAGGCTGAATGGCAAAAATGGAAGACAGACAGACAGACACAGAGAGAGAGAGGAGAGAGAGAGAGAGAGAGAGGCTGAATGGCAAAAATGGAATATGGATCGGATCTATTGTCTACCGCGTGGGCACGGGGAACGCAGCCCTAAGGTAGCCAAAGCAATGAGACTAAGAACGCGCACAAGAGAGAGAGAGAGAGAGAGAGAGAGAGAGAGAGAGAGA